ATTGGAAAGTGATGGATCTATATTCATATATTGGAAGTCGGTAATCACTATTTTGTCTTCTCAAATCAGATTTCGGTAAGTCGAATGATATTTCGATTTGACGCATATTAACGGCATGTTCTTGATGAATATAATATGCACATTATTGGTGTAAAATCTCCTACACATTTAACACATTTTGTTGATATTTACTTAAACATGCACAGGGAAATTAAACAATTACAATACTTAAAACATGATCACCTTTGTCTTTAGGAATAATATGTAATAAAATACCTTTAATATAACAAATTGAACTACCACGATCTTAGTGCATTATAGCTGCCACATGTCTAGACCCTTAATGATAATTCACGAAGCAAAAATGAACTAGTAATCATAACACGACGACGGTTGAATTTTAGGAAAATAATAATTTAGGGCTTTTAGCTTTTTTTCTTGTACTAGCATGTAATTATGACAAAATGCAAAACCCTACATTGGTATAGGTAATCTTAAATCCTAATTCCATTAGGATTAGTAAAGACGTGATGCTATCAGACCCAAGAACTAGTTAATCTAATGCAGGTAGACAAAATAATAATTCAAAAATGCTACTTGTACATCACAAATTGTACATAAGGGGCTACACCCCTCTCACATGGGGTGTGGGACCCATTGCATAAATTATTTTTTAATCTAAGCGGGTCCTACTCTAATGTGAGGGGGGTGTACATCCCGATGTACAATGTGATGTACAAGTAGCAAGATCAATAATAATTTAGGGCTTTTATCAACATTGATATGTTGACACGAACTTCAATTGAAATTCCTTTCAACTCGTTACCCCATCCTGATCGAGAAATGTATCCACCAATGCAGGTAGACAAAATACAGATCATAGCTTCTTACAGTCACAACCTTTTACTATATCCTATATTGATAATTCATCAATTTATATATGATTCTCGCATACCCATATGACACGGTTTTAGTTACCTCATGCAAAGTAACATCCAACGCCACCAAACGGCGTCGGTCTACATATAAGATTCTATGATGATCTTAAATTAAAGGACAAAATCCGCTACCTAAAACTTAGAAATTTTAATTACACTCAAATAGTTGTCCATATGAAATCTCTTTCGTAGTTATGGTTGGGCAAAAATATCAACCAAAACCGATAGATTTGGGTTGATTTTTAAGTTCAATTGGGTTGGGTTCGGGTTGAAAAATGAAACTTGAGGTCGAGTTGGGTTTTGGGTTATGGATTAAAATCCAATCCAACCCAACCCAATAAAAAAATATAAAATTAATACGAAAATCTTAGACACAATAGAGACAACAAAAGGACGTAGAATGTACAAATGTTACTTTTCTTACCTAGGCTAATTGGCATGAATACCATATTGCAAAGTTAATTGGCGATAAATTAAAGTTAATGACAAGATGATGATATGAATGAAACCCAAAAAATTGTGACAAAAAAAAATGCTCCATAGTTTCAAACTTATCTTTCTGAAAGAATTCCTTATATATGTCAAAAACAACGGTGGTTTTCAAGTGGTTTCAAATTTTTAAAAATTGTACAAATTCCACAAAAAATAATTAGATCCAACTTAAATTAGCCCCCAGCCCAAACCGACCAACACAAACCAATACAAGGTTGATCGGTTTGCGTTGTATTACGTTTAAACACATAATTGGGTTAGATTGGTTTGATTTTAGATTAAACTGACCATGTTGGGTAAAAAACTGACGTAACCCAACCCCCGTTCAACCCTAATTGTAGATCATCCAATGAACTATTCCTCTAACAACTCATCCACATATCCATTCAAATATCTTCACACTTCATGTTGTGAAAAGTGGAAATGATATTGGATTAAATCAATACCAAATTTTTGGAGAAAATAAGAGATTATAATCACACTAATTGAACACAAGAACAAAATAATTTGCACATAATGGAGATTTTATTATAATATTAAGAAAGAATATAAAGATTTTTGTTTACAGTGTTTAACTTCTTACTAAATCACAATGAAGATACAACTATATATAGAGAAAAAATAAGGGATATGCAAACCCTCGTAGTAGAGCTTAGTTGAAGTAGAATGTAAGAAATGGAATAGAGGAGGAAAAATCATGTAGAGGAAAACAGCCAGGTGGCACCGTAGCTCTAGACCAAAACGTTCCTAGCGTCGTGGCGTCGTGGAGCCCACTCTCTCGTCGTTTAGTTCAAAAACTTAATTTTCTTTATCCTAATCTCCTCTTCAAATCAAATACAAATTCCTACTCCCAATTAGACTTTCAAGTAGATCTTCAATTAGAATTCACCAAGTAAACTTGAATAAAATTTCACAATAGTATCATAAATAGAATTCTTCTTAATATACACTTTAACTAGAACTCCCAAATGTTTTTAACAATAAATTCGGGTCACACATAAATTTTAACAATCTCCACCTCGACATGAATTCCACTTCAATGAAGAAAACTTCAAAGAAAAAATTTCCACCTGGAGACAAATTCCACTACAAGGAATAAAATTGAAATCTTCAATGAAAAACACAAACGAACTTTTCCATAAAAAATTTTCAATTGAAAATATTCTCCTCCTCTACTACCCCAACTAAAGGTAAATGTGATCTAATGACCACCAAACAAGGTTAAAACAAGTCCTATAACAGAATCACAACTGAATGCATCAAAAGAAGAATCTTAACTAGAATCAATTAACCGCATTCAAACCATCAACTAAATGAGCAAAATTGTACCTATGTGGAATCTTATGGCCAAAACGAGTTTGTTTCTAGCAACTGAATAAAATGACACCGCCAAGGAAAGTAGCAAGGTGGATTCACCCATAACTTCTAAATTCAACTAAGATATATTGTTTAAAGAAGCCCCCAAATTAGACTCCAACGTTATAAAATCCAACTCCAAATTTACCCGAGTTCTTAAAATATGCCGACTGCTCAAAGATTTTGTATAACACTGGAAAATATATAAGTATGATTTTGTATGTCCCATTAACAAAACATGGGCTCCTTTACTAACTTTCTGGACTCCGCCTTAAACAGTACATCTGTACCATTTTGATTCAAAAGTACTTAACGAGATAAGATTTCTCTTCAAATCTGGAATATGTCTTATTGCATCAAGTGTTTAACCGTCCTGTCAAACATCTTTATTCTTACCCGACCAATACCAGCTATCCGACATGGTGTATTATTGCCGGTCATCAAAACACCGTTTGAAACTTCTTCATATATTGAAAACAAATCTCGATTAAAAGTCATATGAAAAGTGCAAACTGTATAAAAAATTCAGGCCTAGTCAAGTTTGGAGTTGTAGTAAGATATAAGTAAAAGCTCTCCATCATTGTTAGGATTTTTTTACAATACTTGTTTTTCCTGGAATTTCTGATTGTTTATTTGTAATCAATTTTTATTTATTCTGCAACTTATAACAATCGTTTATCAAATGCCCATTTTTCTTGTAATAATTACAAAATTTAAAATTAGATTTTGACTTGTCCCTTGAATGACCATCATCAATAACGAGGCCATCTCCATGACCCCCAGATGCTACATGATGTTTCATCTTCTCCTTTGGATATAGAGTATCATAAACTTTTTAGATGGTGAGAGTATCACTAATATATAAAAATCGTATCCTAAAAGACACGTATGAAGGGGGGAAATGAACACAATAAATCAATCCCAAATATTCTTCATCATATTTGAACTCCAAGGTCTCCAGATCAGCGACGATTTTATTAAAAGCAGTTAGGTGATCCTTAAGAGATATATCTTTTGTCATATGATGAGAATATAGACATTACTTGAGATGTATTTTTCTAGTAAGACTCTTCGTTATGCATAATTGCTCCAATTTTAACCATAATGCAATGACTGACTTCTCTTTCAAAATGTCCTGAAAAATATTATTTGAAATATGAAGATGTATTTGAGGGCCTTTCGATCACTCATTTTGTTTCTTTTCTAGAGTCCAAGTTGTGGGCATCTTGTCAAATCTCAATAACACGTCGTCCAAATCCATTTAAGCTAGTATTGCTCGCATCTTTACTTGTCACAAAGAGAATCTTGTATTGCGATCCAATAGTGGAATATCATATTTCATTGTTGTCATCACAAAAAACTGAGATCTTCCCAAAAATTTCAAAATCGAAAACTCTAATACCAGTTTGTTGTGAAAAACGGAGATGATACCGATTAAACCAATTTTGGATTGAAACACTTGAAAAACTTCCAGTATGTAGGAGAT